CCCCCCCCCCCCCCTCCGAAAGAAACTCGTCGTCGAACATGAGATGGCTTCGTTCCCACACAAGAAGGGCCTTCCACTACATAGCGGCTCGAGTCGCTGCTCGTCGTCCTTGTTTTTTTTTTTTCAAGACAAGATAAATACAATCAAAGACAGACTGTCCGTTCGAGACATACTTTTGTAAATACAACTTCAACCACATAATCTTGTTAATACAAATTCAATCCCCAACGAAAACTCACCCCTGCAGGTGGAAGGCGTCCCCGACGCCCCTGCTGGCCTCCCTCGTGCACTCCTTCAGCGCGGACATGGCCTGGCCCGGCGACGTCACCGCCCCCGACACCCGAGGCCTCTCGCCCAGGATGGAAAACCCGGGGCCCAGCTGCGCCTTAGCCTCCGCCAGCGTGACCGTCTCGACCAACATCCCTCGCGGAGACTGGGGGCGCGACAGTGAACCGGCACTTACTGCCCCGCTGGATCCGCCGTTGGAGGCAGCGCCGCCGTTGCTGTCGGCCCCGTTGGTTCCTCCACCTCCGCGGTAACGGTTTTTGTGAGCGATGTCGAGCTGCGGGGATCGGGCGCGCGGTAGAGGCGCCAAAAGAAGGTCAACCTCTACGTTGTTCTTGTTGTTGTTGGCATACATGCCTTCATTGCCTCATGTTGTAAGCCTGAAAGGACTAATCAAAACAAACTCAGATTCGTAGGGCCAGCCGGAAAACCGACCAAAGGATTATCCATTTTCACGTAAATTGGTACATTTGTTTTTCCTTGTATTTCACAACCATATTCACCCAGACATCCACCACCCACGGTACCTACCTTGTCTCGAGCGACCTCCTCGCGCAACCTGAGCTCGGGCATATCGGTCGCTGACGCGGCGCTGTCCACAAGCGCCGGCCGCCTCCCCGTCACCCCGCCCCCTCCTCCTCCGTCAGGTGGTTGCATCACCAGTCTAAGCGACGGCGTTCGATTGTTCGTAGAGATGGGACGGTGGGTGAGCATGCAGCAACGTGTTAAGGGAGGAGTATGGGGGGGGTACGCGAATGATGAGCTAGCGACACGCAGGAAGGCAAGGACAACGCATGAAGGCAAGGAAAATGCAGGGAGGCAAGGACAAAAAACGGAGTTCGTTCGTAAACGACCACACCGAGCTCACGACCCCGAGCTAAGGCGTACAATGTATTCATCAATTCATACTCAGTGAGTCTACTCGCTCGGTCAAGGGGAGCTGGACGCAGTGATGCGATGGTTTAAACCGAGCGACGGAATGTTGACAAGTGGACCAGGCAAGTGGACTAGGCCAGAGGTCCAGGCTAGTGGACCAAGCCATATACTTCAAGTACAATATATCCGTTGAGCTCTCTTTCCGTTACACAATCA